CCACATCCGGTTTCTGCTTAAGATTGCCTTTCCCATAGAGGTACCAACCTCTGTCCCCTTCCCCTGGCAGCACCCCCACGCCATCCTGCATCACAGCATGATGAGCTTTATTAACGCTGGATGCCTGGATGACAGCTCACTCCCCAGCCATTGCCAGGCACAAGGCACAGCCTGTGCAAATGCCAGGCCTAGCCCCAGGAGAAACGCTGTGCCTCTCCATCCATGCCACCAGTGAGAAGGTCCCCATGAGAGCCTGTGAGCATAAAAGCTCTTCACCAGCCCCTCCAGCTCACCCTCTCTGCTGGCTCAGCCTTCGGCACTGGGGCTGTGCCACCAAAGGCCTCTGGGGCTGGCTGTCCTGATGGGGGACAATCAAGGTAGTACAGTGCTGAGCCTTGACCCCATCCCTGGCAGGGTAGGAAATTCCCATAAGAGCAGGCGAGTGTTCAGCAGCATGTCAGACACCCTTTGATCGCAGAGGATAAAGCAAAACAGGCCAGTTATTGAGTAGTCTTCACTGCAGACCTGAGCAACCTCCAACCCTCTTCAGATCCATGTGGTGTCTATCACGCTCTTCTTGTTCAGACAGAGAAGCTTTATGGTGTCCTTTCGTCACCGCCTTGCAGAGGGCTGGCTACCACCTGCCTTTTGCAGGGAGCGGCCGGGCTGGCGGTGCAGCGGTGGGATCCTGCTGTCCCCTGCCGGGCATCCCCAGCACGGCTTGCAGCGCTGCCCCGGGTTTGAAGACTCCCGAGGGCATGATTTAGTGCTTACAGCAAAGGAAGGGGGGGCACACTTCAGATTTTTCTCTCCAGCTCTGCTGTTTATGTGGCTTCAGGCACCCTAGTGCCATGTTTTTTCCTTGCCCCAGGAGAGGAGGGACATCTGCCAAGCTCACCTCAGGATGCTCTCAGTTCATTCAGACCTGTTTGGAAAGCTGTGAGCCACTCGTGATACAAAGTAGAGTGAAGCTCCTGCTGACTGCAAGCAGATGTTTGTACCTAGTGAACCCACAGCTGGAATTCATTGGTGCTTCCAATCAACTGGGTCCATTTACCATCAGCCAGCTGCTGTGAAAATCCCTTTCCCCTCCATGACAGGTGACCTGGTGGAAGCAGGGCACAGGGAGGCAGCACATGGCATCACTGCAAAGGCTTTGGCAGCTGACTGCCTGTCCTTCAGCAGACAAGGGAGAGAGTTGGTGTCAGTCTGTCTCAGATGGACATGTTGGTGGAAGGAGATCCCACCTCTGCTGCTACTGCTCAGAGAGGGGACCAAGGCTGTCAAGCAAGGCAGCTTGACCTGGTGGTTGTAGCGGAGGGCTTAGAGAAAGGAGGGAGGGAAACAGCAGAAACAAATTTCTAGAGCATTGTGCAAGGCGGTTGGGGAACTGTTTTTACATGATGGGCAGGGAGTGAGAATAGCTGAGTAAGTCAAACATGTTCCCATAGGTTTCTGCCAGAGCACAGCTTGTAGTGCCCTACGCCCTGTGATGGGAATCTCCGCTCACCGCAGCATCATTTCACAGAAGCAAGGCACAAGGTGCGTGCTGCTCCCTCACAGATTTTCAAGGGCGGTCACTTGTGCTGTGGCCTTGGTCAGAACAACCACGGTGGCCGTGCCACAGCAAAATTACTTAAGTAAAGTGTGAGGAGGGAGAGATGAAGATGAAGGCTAACATCACCATGAAACCCTAACACTGAAATAAAATCCTCTCAAATCAACCTATATATCACTGGAAGCAGCCTGTAAATGTGAATCCTGGCTGGCAGCCAAGGTGCAAATAGTAAGCCTCTGTGCAAGAGAAGTGGCTTAATGTGCACTGGGGACCTCTGCTATTATGTGTCCCAGAACAGGCTGTGCTGGTGCATAAGCTTTGCAGTGTTGGTTACACGCTATTAAGCTCCTCTAAGGTAATAAGTTCTCAGTCCTCTACTGACTGCATAAAGTCATTCCTAAAAACCTCACCAAAACGCACTCAAATGGCTCACAGTTTCATTGAGGGTATCACGTCCCCATTTGAACAGAGGCAAAATGAGAAGGGACCCCTCTACGAAAGAAAATCAGGTTCATGTGAGGTTGCTTTGTAGGAGCACTAGCCAAAAAATTCCTAAATGGAAGGAAGGAGCTGCTAAAGGAGTGTTGGTACAAAGCAAGTCTGAGGATACCTGTCCTGCTCACTCCATGCTCCTCTCCTGGGCACTGAAGTGAGAGAATCACTAGTGCACCGATGAACAGAGAGTGAAGACCTTACGTTACCACAGGCTAAGGGTCTCCCCAAGCAGCAGTCAAGGACCCTCAGGAAGTTTGATGTAGACCCACTCAGAGGATGGAGGTTGGGGAATAGCTAAGGGAATACGGGAAGGAGACAGGAGGTTTAAATTGTTAACTTATTAATCTGCCTTTCTCAAATAGAATCTGATCCTCCATCACCGCCACCACCCCCACCTCCCATAAATTTACATTTATTTTAAACCCTGGGGCTTTTCACTCTCCAGAAAGGAAACACTGCTGTCAAGGGCACTTAGATAAAGACATTTAATTTCTGGGTGAGAGTTTTGTGCAGTTTAATAAGAGCTCCAGAGCAACAGCCCAACACGCTGTACTGCCCATGTTGGCAATGGGGACCCCCACCATGGGAGGAGGCAGTGGCTTGCTGCATGGAGAGGTGCTGGGTGCTGCTGAAGGGTGGGTGCTGACAGCGCTCAGGATTGCACTGTGGTGTTTGCCTTTCCTCAAGCCTAAGGTTGTGGCTCTAGTGATTCTGAAAGACCTATGTCTTACTTTCATCTATTTGGTTTTTAAGTAGTTTTCTAGCTTTCATGTTTGTAAAAAAACACCTGAAATTCAATACCTCAATGTTAAAAAAAGAAAAGACGACAAAGAAAAAGAATAATCAGACTGTTTGTACAACCTCAGGGTTCTTAAACCAGTTTGATGATTTCTGGAAGTGGAGGGTGCTCCAGGAGCCTGCAGTGATGCGCCATGAGAGGGCACGGAGATCACCCAGGCAGTGGCCAGCTGCAGTGGGTAGGGCGGCGGGGTGCCCCACCTGGGCTTTTCCCCAGCCTTTGTGTGACCTTCCCTACCAGCATGCCTCTGTTTCCCTCTTTGTGTCTCTCTTGAGAAGTTTTGACACACCTCTGAGTCATCATCTGTGGAAAACCCATAGTTCATTGAAACACCTGCGGTGATCAGGCAGGACAAGAGGAGACAGGAACACGCAAAGGCAGTGCCAGTGCTGCAAGGCAAAGTTACATTTTGGCTCTACACCTTTCAACACTGTCCCTTGGGATGCTCTGGAAACCCTTCTCCAATGGGCTTTTCTGTTTTTCACATGAAAAATGTGCTCTGCCCCCAAACCTTGTCAGCATTGCCTGCTGCAAAATCCCTGCCACCCACCAGCTTGTAAATGTTCAGAAAAGCACTATCTGCAGTCATTTACAGGAATTAGGGACCCATTTCATGAGCTCAGGCATTTGGATGTCCTGGGAAAATCCCAGGCTGAAATAAGACCAAGATCCTGTGGAAGAAAAGCTGTTGCTGTACCCTTGGACCAAGTCATCTCTACCCTCAGGACACGTCATTACATCACATACCAGCCAGCTTCAGCTTTGTGGTCTCATGCAGGTGAGAAGGCATCATGGAAGACAGTCTTGGCCTGTTGCTGCCTCCCTGCAGGACTGCCTGTGCATAAGCTGAGCATGATTCACCCAGTCCCTTGCCCGCACCGCTGCCGGCTTCACAGAAAGCGCAGCCAGGGGCAGGGGCCGCAGTTACTTACCCGACGCCAAGTGCAGCACAAGGTGAGCTCACTGACCCATGAACCTGCAGCCCCGCAGGCACCAGATGCCCGTGCTGCCCACTGGGACTGTGCCACTGCTCACACACCGCTCCTGCCAGGAATGCAATGACCTGATGCTGCTGCCGACACTGCCTCTTCCCTGGGCAGCAGCAGGTGGGGATTGACAGTGACACCCAGTGAGATGCACTGTGTTCAAGCACAGAGGAATGTGGGGCTGGGGTCCAAAGCAGGCCAGTGCTGTCCCATCTTGGCCTTCAGACATGTGTAGGGCCCCTCTGCAGAGGTGGTGTGTCCTGCAGAGATAAGCCAAGGACCCCCAAGCTGTCTACCAAATCCATTATAAAGTGATCAGAGTACCTATGCATCCCACTCCATGTGTTGGGATGCTTGTGTGACCCTGGTGCCATTCAAATGGCTCTGATGACTAAAACAGAGAAATACATTTCACTGAGGTTCCCAAGAAGAGAAATACACACCTCCCCTGCTATGGCCAGCCTGGGTCTGTAGGACCCTTGGGAGTAGATCTGATCTCCTTGTTCCTGTCGTTGCACATCAGACCAGTCACTGCCCAAGCTGTGCTAGTCAAACCCTGCCAAAACCTGTATGGTGAGCAGCAGCTGTGGTGGGGGGCTCAACTGCATGAGACAGGAGGGCTGGGATGCCCTGGGAGCCTCACAACTTGCCAGAAACATGCCATTCACTCACCAAGAGCATCATCCTCGTAAATGGTTAACCTGCTGGGAACTGCACAGCACTAATGACTTCACATGCATTTAATCAGCTTGGGCTTCCAGAGCCTCCTCCTCGAGAGCAGGAAAGGCCATGCACCCCGGGTGCAAATGCTCCCAAAGCCGCACCCCCCCCTTACCAATCATTAATCACCACCGGGCCGGGCAACGCGAGCAAGCGGCAAGCAAGCAGGAAAAGTCCAGGTCTCCACAGCCCCCACAGGAGCAGTGGGAAGCAGTGCTGACTGGTTCCCTGTGGTGGCAGCTTCCTTTGCGACCACCCTCCCCTGGGAGGCCCCGGTGGAGGTGGCCAGTCCTGCACGCACTGCCTTTTCCTTCAGGAAGGTCACTTGGTCCTGGGTGCGGGAGGTTCTGCCTGCGGCTGGGAGCTGCTGGGCTACGTGCGAGGAGGGAGCTCTGAGAAGGATCTTCTGCCTGGTTGGCACCACAGTCTTCATCTCTTCGCCATGTGGCACAAGGCATTTTGGAGTGCCCTGGAGTACACCTGCCGATTGCTGGGCATCTCCACCGCAGCAGGTAAGAGCGAGCTCTCTTTTTCTTTGGCACTAAAAGACAGAGTGGATGTTGGGACCCCTGAGCTGTCTCCCTGCCTTTGGCCAGGTGCAGCCACTGCCCCATCCTACTAGGGGGACAAGGAAACTTGATCACTTTTGCTTTGGGACCCAGGGAGGGAGACTGCTGCATGCCTGGCCAGGCTCTTTCCAAATGCTGTGGGAGGCACAGTGAGACATCAGAAAGGAAAAGCCAGCATTTGCTATGGCAGAGGACAAGCTAAAGCCCAAATGGGAAAGAAAACTAAATTCTATTCTTGTAAAACAGGCATGGGCACAGGTAAGATGTGCCTGAGACTGAAAAGCAAAATACTCATGGCTGTGCAAAACTGCCAGGCTGCTCTGTGGGATGTGAAAATGAAGGAGGACCTCCTTATGCTGTGTACACTGAGATGTCCCGTGCCAGGCAGGATGGAGAGGTCCCAGCCATCGTGGCACAGTTACTGCCAAAGTTCTGCTCTGCCTCTCTAGCAACCTGTCAGCGAGCAGGCTTAGGAACCAGTTCAGGTTATAGCTGCAGTGCAAAAATCATAAATTCACCTACCTGGCTAGTTGCAACCTCTCACCTGCTGCCAGGGGCTGCTTGGGACCACCATCCTCTGGGTTTGGTAACACACCCAAGTGCTTGGTTTCAGTTGAAATGCGGGTGTTTTGAGCCAGACGTCTCAGGCACAGCATCTCACCCAGAAGGACTGAACTGTGGTGAATAACCCTCTCATGTGGGGCACCTCCGGATAGGATGTGGGGAAACAGCTAACTCAGAGGGCTCAGGGGTTCACTCTGGCACTGCTGCTGACTCACTGTTATGGGACAGGACAGACAGTGCTCTCTGCCTCAGTTTCCCCATCAGTAAAGCATAGATCAAAGGCTGGAGGTGTGAACCAGAGGTTTCTGGTGAAAGGTGACTTGAGGTGGTTCCTGTGTCAGACCCCTGGGAATTTCAGATTCAGACACTGCAGAGTAGGTCGCAGCAGGCTCACCTACCTTCACATTTCCTTTATCAACTGCAGACAGCCATGAGGGACACTTTGCTCAAGTAGAAAGCACACAGATCAGCTGAAGAGAGCACAGGTCCTCAAGGACATCCAAAGCCCAGCTGAGACACTGGAGGCTGTGCTCTGGAATGTGCCTTAAACAACTGATAACAGGCAGAGATTTGAGTCTCTGAGTTTATACAAACTCCCAGTAGATAAGTGCACATCATGATGAGACTGCAACAGATAGCAGCTGGGACACAGCTTTAACCAGCAAATGCAAATCTCTTCCTTTCTCCATCCCTATCCCCCTTGGGGCCACATGAGCCCTGTGCTGGTCATGTCTCCTAAAGCTCCAAGGAAACTCATAGAGACCTCCCTGGGGGGAAACATGAGCTTGCCGTGGGAAAACTAAAGCTAGAACAGCAAAATTGAAAGTATCTTACAATTTGGAAGTGTCTTAGTGAAATATAGTATCTCTCTCCTACTTGTTTCCTTTTCATCATTTTGCATCATCTGCACCTCTTCCTGTAGTTCTTGAAATAAGCAATGCAGTTGTCTCTCTGCTGAGCATCATGAAGTGTAGGGAGCTGCTCTACAAATCTCTGTGCTTTTCCATAGCTCTGATGCATTCCCAGTATCACCTGACTTTCCCAAAAGCACAGCGAAGAATGGGAGGTGCCTCTGTTTTATTCCTCTGTGTGTCTCAATGGAGTAAGAAAACAGCTTGATGCAGTGTTTAGTGCCTGATGAGGTATGTGAGGTTTTTGCATGAAATGGAAACCATGCAGAAGAGAATCCCATGGGTTTTGTTTGAAAGCTAAAAAATAAAAGGGAGAGGAGAGGTCATCAGCCTCACTAATTGATTCTGAGAAGGCCTGGCCAGCTCCATAAGCTGCTTGCAAACACAGAAGGTTAGCCACATAATATAAATTTCCCCTTCCCCCAGGATCTTGGAGTGTAATGGCTGTCTGCAATGGTGGGGCTACACGGTTTCTTGTGTATGAGAAATCAAACAGCCCTGCCATCAGCAGAGCCTCATGGCGAGTTAGTGAAGAGTGATCAAACAGCCCCATGATTCACTGTGGTGTTTGGGGCATCTCTGTAGTTCAGAGATTTTAGGTCGTGTGATTTCTGCATCTAGGAGGGAGTCCTTACTTATTTCTTAATTCTCATGCTTTCAACCATTTAATTCCTAATCATGTGCCTTTAGCCACATGGTTTGGATAAGATCCAAATCAAGGCAGCAACTAGTCCAAACAAACACCTCGGAAACAGTCCTTTGCTTCTTGCAGATTCTTCATCCAAACAGCTTTGTGGATAAAGCAGAAGCTGTGCAAAATGAGGAAACCTCCCCATCCAGAGCAGAGACTCCAGTGTAACAGCCAAGCTGTTGGAATTCTGCATTCATCTGCAGGGAGTGAATGAATGAATGAATGAACTCCACATTCGTAGGGAAGATTATAAAGAAGGGTTCTCAGTCACGAGATAGCATAGGACAATACTTTGCACGTAGGATTACACAGCTCGCACAGCTTCACAGCCCTCTGATGAGACTGATTTCCCTGCAGCTGCAGCTGCAGGTGGCACAGGGGGAACCAAAGAAAGACCACAGCACCCCACAGGGGCTTTGCTCAGCCAGGATGTGAGAGTTGTGTGCTCCAGCACAGACCCTCGGCATTGACCCACCTTGCAGCCTTGATGGACACTGGTCTGCATCCCTGTTTGGGAGCCTGGTACCTTCTCCAGCTGGGGCAAACCACAGCTCAGAGAAGTTAAGCCAACTGGCACCTCAAGCCTTGGCCAGTGTGTACTGAGCAGGACCAGTGGTGAACTTCCTGAGCACCAGTGGATGGGCAGGGACTGCTTGGTGAGATGAGGAGACAGCAAGTGTGGACAGGAGTGCAGTGACTGCCTACAGCAATGCCCTGGCCATGAGACCTGGGCTCCACTCAGCTCCATGCCGCTGGCACTTGTGCAGTGTGACCAGCTGGTTATGTACTGACCAACTTGCTGCAGCTGGTGCAAGGCACTTTGTTTCTGCTCCATTTTGGAAATAGTCTTGTGGGCAACTGAAGGATGTTGAAGGAAATTTTCCACCCCCTGAAGCTATTGGCCCCCAACGGCCAGGCCAGTCCAGGGAAGATTTTAGCCTCGTTAATACTCTTAATCCCCCTTAAACTGACTCCCCAGTGTGCTGTGCTGGCTGGGACACTGAAGGGATGTTAATTCCCTGGTTTTAATCTGCCTGCTCCCGTTATATGTTTTTCTGTTTGGCTAGCAAAGAATCTCGATGCCATGGCTACAGTGCTTTGTGAAGGCAGCTGGCACGGTTCCCCTGTCCTGCTGCTGCCCTGCAGATGCGAGTTGGGTGCAGCAGGCCTGGGCAAGCAGGGAGGGCAGGGGAGTGAGGCTGTCAGGCACTGGGGGACATGGGCAGAGAGGTCCCCAGACCAGGAGGGGGCAGAGGTGAATGGGGCAGTGGGAGGGAAGTCCCTGTGGCAGCTATGATGGAGTGGCAGGGCAGGGGGTGGAAGGGACACAGGACACTGCTGCTCACCTCTCCCAGCTGTCCAAGGCCAGCTGGTATCCCCAGAGCACCCCTACCCAGCCCATGCAGTGGCAAGGCTGCCAAGAGAGTTGCAGCTGGGATGGATTTCTGGGCTGTATGTCAAGGCCAGCATTCAGCTCTAACCCCCCCTGGGTTGGTGTGTCAGCATGAATCACTGGTGCTGGCAGTCCTAATGTGCTGCACAGCATGGGAGAAGCAACCTCACTAGCCCCTGGGGAAACTGGGGCATTGATCCTGGGAGCTGGTAGGGTACCAGAGAGCTGGGAACCAACCCTGCAGTCAGCATCTTTCCTACCTTCTCTTTCTAGTGCTGATCGGTGTGGGAGTAGAAACTCTGCAGCAAGGACAGTTCAAAAGCCTGGCTTTCTATCTGCTGTGAGTATTTTTGCCCTTGAAGTCAGAGCTGGCGGGAGTGACACATTCGACCTCTCTACCATATGTAGCACCAGACTAGACTGCAACAGCAGCAGGGAGCAGTGTCCAAGGCTTTGGGGAATTCAGATCTCCATATTTAGGTTTCAGAAAAGCAAACTATTTCTGTTGTAGAAACTGATTACACTGCATCACCCATGCTACTGCAGACTCAGGCAGGCCAGAGGTGACATTGCCTGCAAGTTGACCCCTTGGGGACAGAAGGGCTTTGAGCTCTCCTCCACAAACCAGCCGAGCAGAGGGTGTTTAGACCCCAGAACACAGACTCTGTTGTGAACTGGATAGTAAATCCTGGCCTTCTATGCCCCTTCTGCCACCTGGAGAGCATACTCAACCCCAGCCCTGCCCCCCTGACAGCTCCACCTTTCAGTTTTTCAGGGGTTGCAGTTACTGTCTGTGAAGGCTTCTTCTTTATCAGTTTGTTCCTGGAGATGTGCTTCACGTGAGTAGACTCTGTCCAGTCCTCTCCAGCCTTGGTGGGACCTCCCTAAGGCAACTTGTCCCTTACAGGCAACACCAGACCTAGCTGAGCTGCAAGTGCCAGACCAAAGGTCCTGCCCCTAATGCCATGGCAAGTGCACTCAGGCAGGGGGGAGGTAAGTGGGGCCATATCCACAGCCAATTAAACCTGTATTTTACCCCAAACTTGTGCAATAATGTGCTGAGCATCAGCACAACAAACCCTGGTCTGCAGCATCTTCTTAACACACAGTATGAAGCCCTACAAGGGACTAGGGTTGAGGGAAGAGCCAGATCCCCTGCGTGAGCTGCAGCTTCCTCTCAGAGACAGTGCAGAAGTTTAAGTTAAAATGTAGAAAATCCTTATATACTTCTCAGATGCTGAGCACTTCTGCTGTCTTTTAGTGTAAACTCAAAAGCCCTGATAGCTTAGAGACAACACTTCACTCCGGCTATTAGGCACTCATCTAATGGCCAAGTAGGCAAACACACCAAGGAGAGATGGCCTGAGATGCTGACCTCTGGCAGGCGTAGCCCCTGGCCTCTTCTCCCCCTGGGAGAGGCCCTGGCTATGCTTACCTTCCCTGAGCAACACATTGGTTTCCTGGAAAACTAGAGTGAGGATCTGCACATCTAGATGGGTGACAGTTAGGTCCAAATCTTCTTGCCATGTTCTTGGTGCCCCATCCCACAAGGACCTCTGTTTCTCTCCCCAGATACGAGCCTGACTCCCTGGCACAGGCCTGCTGGAAGCAAGCTAGATGCCCAGGGAGCTTCCAGAAATTCCTGGGGTACATGCTGCTCTCAGTGGCTTGCTTCCTGCACCCTGTCCTCGTCTGGCACGTCACCATCCCTGGTAAGGAGCCCATGCTGGGGTGGGGAGTAATGCAGATGGAAGAGGAGTGTGGTCTGTTGAGGGCCAGAGAGGGTGGGGATGTGTGCAGTGCTGGACTGGTCGTAGATCGTGCTGAGCTAACTAGACCAAGCACTGCTTGGTGAGCTCTTCACCTTGCCCCAGCCATCAGCCAACATGGCTTTCTCCCCAGGGTCCATGCTGGTGCTCACTGCCCTGGCGTACTTCCT